TATATATATATATATATATATATATATATATATATATATATATATATATATATATATATATATATCAGCCTGGGTCTGATTCTTAAAACAAAAGCAGAAAAGTATAGAAGTAAAGATGCTAACATAATTGTTCTTTTTTTTACTTCATAATGATGTAATAAAAAGAAAATCTTAGTTCCCCCTAACTTAGATTTGTAGTTTTGAGTATTTTTTTACTATAATTTAATTATTACATTTTTAAACTAGTTGGTTTTAAAACCTTAACAATTCAGAACTATACAGTAAATAATAATGAAACAAATAATTTCATAATGCATGTTTGTGTCTAAAAATGTATACCTTAACATATTACCTCTCAGTGGTCTTTTAAATAATTTGATTAATCCTTAAGTAGTTATATGACATAAATCTGTTGACCATGCATGCAATTATGCTCAAGATAACCTGCCTAAAAGTAATCAAAGCAGTTTCCTTGAAAAAAAAAAGAATATTTAATTGTTGTTGAGGCTGTATTTGTTACTGTCTGTGTTTATTACTTTTTTAATCAAAATGTATGCATTCCAGTTGTGACAGTTGTCTCAAATATGTGTCCCTGTTATTCTGTGTTTTTAAAGCTAAAGAAAAGTTTGAAGTTAAAACTTTTATGGGCTTTTCAGGATTATGACTAAGAGTTTTTAGTGAATGGATAAAGAAACACCCAGTGAGCAAAGAAAAATAAGTTTGCTTTTGGCATTAAAGACAAGATAAAGGCACCTATTCTGGTTAAGGCTGACAGGAAAATGCAGGTAATTTAAATGATCAGACTTTACAGCTCAGGAATGCAGAAAATATAAAATACATTCAGCACTAAAGCAGTGGGAGTAAACAATAGGAGGATGGTGCTCAATTCTTCTGACAGCTAACATTATAAATACAGTCTGCATTGGGTGAAGCAAAGTTGGATGATGTGCAACTATGAAAAAAAAAACACTTTAAAATAATCTGATTATCTTGTAGATGCACATAACATGGTAGAAAAAGACCCATACTGCCCTGTTTCTGCAGTAAAGCTGTGAATATGATATTTTCAGCCACTTAGCACCAATTTCCTTCAAATTTTGCTGACCATGTCCTGCATGTATAACCACAGTGTTCCACTTTTCTAATGGCAAGTTTCAGCATGATAATGCACCAAACTGCAGGGTTATAAAATCTGCTTTTTTGGATCTGATGGTGGTGTTCACAGTAACTACATCAGATGCTAAATAGAGTACCACTGAGTGGTGACATTACAACAGATCTGCGGTAACTACATAGTTCTTTTGTGTAAATATGGATCAAAATCTCAGAGGCTTTTTGGAAGCATTTTGTTCCATCAGAGCTGCAAAACCCTGAGGCTGTGTTGTCAGCTGATTTAATAGAAGGGGTCTTCACCTGCTAGTTGTTAATGTACAATTTAATTTTATTAAATGTGGCACTTCTTAAAGGAATGCATATAGCTGGCCGCCTTGCTTACCAAAATTTTAAACATACAAGTTACACGATCTGTTAGCTCTCCAAGAACGTGATCTGGATCCGTTTCAGCTACACCCACAACAAATTTTAGTTTAATATGTATATTTTTAAATAAACTGCAAACAATATTCAGCTGTATATGTTCTTCTAATGACTACTTTGAAAGTTTTATTTTAATATGTGCTGTAATTTATGCTATTTTGCCGAATGAAGAACACAAACATGTGATTTCCCACCTCTTATGGCAAGTGGTGAGAAACAAACTAACCTTAAGGAAAACATGCTGAACAACAATTTGGGTAACTTAACATAATAAATAAGATGCATAAACATTTCATACAATCATCTGCATATAAAATGTTAAGATTTGTTGCACTTTAAAGCTTTGCAATTACTTTTAAAAATACTTGAAATTGAAATTTCTTCTAAATGGATGAGTCATCCCTGGTACCCAAGAATTCCCTATAAGTTTGGCTCATTCTTACCAACCCATTATTCTACAATAATTTCAACCTTGATGCAGTTTAGATGACTGCAAAGGGTTTCACTGCACTTTGTGTTTCCTATTCAACACACAGACTGCACTGCATGTTATATATTTAAAGCACTTTCGTCTTTGCAGTCACATTTATTAGCATGCTAGGGGAAATATGTGGCTCGGTGTCCTGCCCAAGGACACTTAAACACACAACTGAGGTTTGAACTACTGATCCTGCAATCACCACTTTATCATAATTTTAGAGTTCAGTGCCTGATTGCTGCATCAAAATAAGTAGGAGAGAATCTAGTAGGATTAAAGTAGTTTGATTTATTATTAAATGAAAACTTTTGAAATATTGAATAGTCAATGCTCAATCCCCTAAATAATTTGGATCCAAAGATTAAAAGCAGAGGTAATTTTGTTTCCTAAAATATGGACAATTGCTGCTAATCCCTGTAGCTGGCAGGAATCAGCACAGGGAAGGACAAACATTCTCTGTCAGCTCGACTGAGGTGTCAGACAGCAATAATAGTCTTCTTTTTTTAAACTTCATTCAACAGATAAGAACACAGTGTGAAATAGACACATGCAAATTTTACTAATTCCTTCTTATCAAAGAAAAGACAAGAACCTGACAAAAGGGATAATTACAGGTCACATCCTACACTTTTGTTAAGAGGAGTTTGCATGAAAGACAAAAAAGACAGTAGTCCTGTTTTGTAGCATTAATGGCTGGGTTTAATTCTGGAGCTACTTTGAGATGTCAGGAAACATTGTCTCCAGAGAGTTAAAAAAAGAAATAGAAGGATAAATAAAAATAAAATCGGTCCCTTCTATCTCATCTCTCTATCCATCATGAGTCACCAATCTCCAACTTTTTAATTCCACCATCCTTTTCTTACTTATTTCTTTTTTCTCCCAGACAATTAGTTTTACTTTGTATATGTCCTCTGCTTTTAAACCTTCAGTAGGGTCCTAGTACTCTGAATCTTTTAAGACATTTTCCTTTTTTTTCTTCTTCTTCTTCTATTTATTAAGCTGAAATACTTTGGAGTGGAGTGTTGATCCCGGGTATCTGACTACAGGGCTCTGGACTGGTCCTCTATCTAAAGCAGGGGTGTCCAGTTCTGGTCCTCAAGGGCCACTATCCTGCATGTTTCAGATATTTCTCTGCTCCAATCCAGCCAATTTAAAATCTATTTTTGATTAGCAGGCATCTGCAGGGTTATTTAACCATTGAATCAGGTGTTTTAGAGCAGGGAAACTTCTAAAATATGCAGTATAGTGGCCCTCAAGGACCAGGGTTAAACACCCCTGGTCTAAAGTGTCTGAGATTTATATTTATACCAGTGCGATTCAGAGGACTGCTTATGTCAAGGGCAGGGCTGATTCAGCTTAATTTTCTAACCTTTTATATCTGGATGTCTCATCCTCCCTCAACCAGAGTTAAAAGTCAACTGAGTGGCTTACATGTCTACTATTTTCACCAGCCATGCTTGTTAACAAGGGCATACTCCCTAAATGATCATTGCACTTGTTATGGTGTGAGGAACAAGTTTAATAGACCTTACCAATAGGTACCTTATATTTTTTAGTTTTAATACTTTGTCCAGAACAGCAAATTTTAGTCCTATTCTTAGTTTAGGAATACACTGTGTATCCTTTCATAATTAAAATGAGAGTCAAAAGTCAACGGTTACTACAAAAATCTACATTTTTGTCATATATATTCTTTAAAAAGTAACATGTTTTGAAGGATTTGTCTAAATTTGACTAAATGTTGCAGCAATAAAAATTATCTTAATGTTTTAAAAGGTAATAATCATGAAAATTAACCCTAAATACAAACATGTAGTGTTAATACAAAACTCAATGTATCACTTTTAGTGACGGGCTTCAGTTAAACTTTAATGTTCATGCTGCAGTTCTGCCTGTCAATAATGAACTAAAACTCACTGATAGGTTGTCTGTCACCATTTTATATCTTCTTTTTGTCTTTGTGTTGCTACCTTTTCAGTTCATTGGTCGCATATTATTGTTTTGAATTCACAAAAGCAACAGAGGGCCATTAGAGACAATTTGGTGGGGCAGAAAAGCCCAAGAAATTATCTGTCTTTCTTCTGTAATTGTCTACAACTAAATTGGTCTCACCAATTATTACATTTACGTACAATTTGCATGCTAATAAGCAGGGGTGTCACTCACATACTCACAAATTCTGCTCATGTTCGTCTCCCGTCTTCTGCTCTCAACGCCTCCTCCATCCATCAGTACTTTTCATTAAGTTAAAGTCAAAGTTACTCTTCAGCCTCTCAACTCCTTCAACACAAAGCTTCCAGCTGTGAATGTGAGAAAAGGAGAAATACTGCTGTGACATGGTGTAATACCATATTTCCTTAAAAAGGGATTGTCTTTCTGTCATCATGTATTATTTAATAATGATCAAACAGAAATCTGGCCATAAATGAATCTTTTAAACTTGGTGTATTTCAGTTTGTTAAAGTGCTATTCTTGTTAAATGCTGTCCTATTTAGCACATTTGAGCCTTCACATGTAGTTTACCAAATACTTAATAGATAAAAGGCACTGTATTGTATAATAAAAAGTGTTGTAGAGACGAAAACATTATTTCAAAAACAATATTTAACAAGTGCTGTTACATCTTCCACTGGGTCACTAATGAACTAAAAGAACAGCTGGAAAAGCTAGTGCTAAAATTTGTATTTTAATGCGTCACTGACAGAATTACATCTATAAACCTTTAGCAATGGTTCCAGACCAGACTTTAACTTTAGTTGAATTAAAGTACACTTTCCATTTCTGACCATCTTATGAGCCTCTTCTGTCTCACTGGGCCTTACCTGAAACATCTTGAAACATTTGGGCGGGTTCTCAGATGGGTCACGAAGCACAGGAAGTTTGAACATGTTGAGAAATTTTCCAAGACTTTTCCAAAATAGCCTAAGTTGTTGCAGGTGTTTAGAATCCATTTCAAACCTGTTTCAATTTAGTTTTTGTAATTCAAGAGCTCTGAAACTTTAATTCTTTAGTGATATTTATGTAAACTTATAGCAAATGTAGACCCAAATTTTACTAAAATACTCTTCATTGTGATTCCAAGCGAAAGCTTTTTATTTTCTCTTACCTTTGTGTCTCAGATAGTTGCAACCTTGTGAAATACAACTTTTTATGTCTTCAAAAAGTGACCTAATCATCAGAAATCATGTAATTCTAAAACAAGGACAATATTTTTGTCTCACAATATTTTCCTTTTGTAGACAACAGCCAATGTGGCTTTACACAGTAACGTTAGACCCGAAGGTGTTTTTCTAGATTTTTGTGCCATTCTTGATTAATAGTTCTTGTTAAACTACATAAACATCTTAAAAAAATACAAATAATTAAATCTACGTGGATTCCGAGCACAGATCCCGACTCGGCGCGCTCCCGCGCCCCAGAAAAGTGCTGCGCTGCTTTTTTGACCGTTTTGCGGACCCACCAAGTTTTGACGTTTCTTAAGTTTCTTTTTCTAACTTTTCACTTCTTTTTAATCTACAGATGGATCGTGATCCCAGAAACCCAGCCTACATTGCCACGCAAGGTCCCCTGCCCTCCACTGTGGCTGATTTCTGGCAGGTAAAGACACACAAAAATCTGTGCACACACACACTGTCTTGAAAGAAAAATCAATACAGTCCCCTCTCTTAAACAAGAGTTAGCCGATTTTTATTAGTGCAGCAAGCCACACAGGAGAGCAGCTTGTTCTGTGGATGTCATTATTAATCTCTCCTTCCCCATAACACTCACTGCCTACAACACAACCACACGCACAACACACACACAGTGGTCAGCAGTGGAATTCTGTTAATGCAGGAGGCAGCGAACACTTTTCCCATTGTCTCAAATGTTGGATTGGGTTTGAATCGGTGAGCAGAAGATCAATATGTTATTTTAGCCACTTCTTGGGTCTGTGTGTTTGTGGAGTAGAACAGTTGGGGAGGTTGTGTGTCGGTCAGGAAGGCCCCCTCCCTAACCTCGATGAGTCTCTGAGTAGTCCTGACAATGCTGGGAAAACAATTAAAAGTTACTACAAATTTACAGCAAATTAATTTGAGTTAAAACCATAAAATACAACATTTTTCTGGTATTTATTTTTTATTGGTTTTTTTTCGATTGCAACAATTTACAATAATAATAATGATAATTGTTTCTTGTCAAAATCTGGAGAAGACAGTTGAATTTGTGTCCAATAAGTCAAAAGATGAAAAAACTATAATAATAATGAAAGCTATTTGCTGAATATCTAGAAATGGGATTTTACACGTGGACTGTCAAAGGCCTTTAAAATTATTCAACAAACATTTATTCTGCTTAACAACGGCCTTCATGAATTTATTTATTTATTTATTTGGAAAATTCAGAAGCCAACCCCTATTCCCTAACCTAAAGAAACATCTGCGCATGCACACCCTGTTATATAATGAAGTCCTTGATAATGCCCTGGGTACAGTCCTTGACTGTAGTCAGTAAACGTATGTTTAAAACCCATAATAAAAACAACTAATTAATTAGAAATCACTCATCTATGTCTGTTAAGCACAGATGTGGGCTAATCGTGGTTTGAGTTTGTGATTCAGCCACTGAAAAATAACTTTCACTGACTAAAATTTAACTCAAAACAAACACCACACTGATAAAAAGTTATAAAGATTAAATTATAATTAAAAAATATGAATTCTACATGAAAATAATTATCCTGAACACCTACATTTTCATAATCAACTTGATTTTGACAAAATTTTGCCCCGACACTCTGTCGCTTCACTAAACATAAACTGAAACTAGAAGAAAAGCTTCAAAATCTCAGCAACAGATGAGCTCAAATCTGCCAAACAGGAACTGAAAGACTCTTAGCTGAAGTTAAAAGTCTTTAAGCAACACTTACTAAAGGTGGGAGGCTATGGGTGAGATCATGTAAGTCAGAGGTGGATCAAACTGACAAATTTCAAGATTTGTTCAAGTTTTAAAATCCAAACCATTACAACTTGGTTTTCAAAACACCTCAGAGAAGAAAAAATAAAAGAAGTGTATCAGTCCATTTTCTGTCCACAACATGGGTTCTGACAGGTGGACTCAACAGCAAAAATACAAAAACAAGAAAAAATAGAAATACAGAAATAGGAAAGCAACTTTACCATCACAACTTCAAAAATAAATCTAAATTTGTATGCATCCTTTATGATCGTCTATTGTTACTTGTTAAAATCAGGTCTCTCTTGTAAATGAGTCCCCAAGGCTCAATGGGATTAACCTGTAAAAATACAGGTTGAATGAATGAACTTGTGGCCTGCTAAAGCAGAAAAATAAGATTATTGCTATGTCACCAGGTGTTAAACTGGTGGAAATACCAATATCGAATACCAAGCCACAACTTTTCAGATGAAACAAAAAGCATTGGTAAAGTGGCAGAATGTTGCAAAATAAACGGTAAACAAGAATCCTAAAAACTTAAATAGACTTAAACCAAATTTGACTGACATATTATTTTATCTGATTGGTTTAAGCTGTTATTTTAAAACTAGAAGGAAGGCTCATGATTAAATATTTAAAAAGCTCTTATTTGACTTGGTTCATTTTGGTAAATTATATATGTATGTATATATATATATATATATATATATATACATATACATGTATATGTGTAATTGTATATATATATATATATATATGTGTGTGTATATATATTTATGTATATATATATATATATATATATATAT